CTGGACTCCATTTGGAAATCTGAGGCCGCCCATCAAAACTTTCACTTCTTTTGTCGCTGTGTCATACTCAAGCAAGCTAAGGGCACAGTTACATAGGCATTAACAAGGAGGCTATATTATGATCCACAACATTTAGTACTGCCCACTTTCCCAGACAGCAAATACCAGAGAACAGGAACAGAACCTATCTAGCACATTTTAATTTTATGAATGCAAGTGCAAAACTTAAAAGTACGGATGGGCACAAACCTCGTCACAAACCTAATTTCGGGACAAACATAGCTGGTTTGCGATTCGCGAACTAAGGTTCATGCCCATCCCTATCCACAATCCTTCACATGGTTTTCGGAGGTTTGTGGTGGGTAGCGGAGGAGGGGAGTGAGAGGAATTACTGAAATGGCTTGTATCCATTTCAGCATAACAGTGGGGCTGGTGCAACGATCAGCTGTTAGGCTGAAATAGATGCAAGCCATTTCAGTAATCCCTTTTGCTCCCCCCCTTGCTTCCAAGCATTCTCTTTAAATGGCTTTTGCAAGCCGCACGTGAGTGAATGCCTTCCAATGAGTTCACCTGAAAGTTCACCTGAAAGTGAAGAAGAAGAGAAGAAGAGATTGGATTTATACCCCGCCCTTCTCTTGGAATCTCAGAGTGGCTTACAAACTCCTTTCCCTTCCCCTTCCCACAACAAACACCCTGTGAGGTAGATGGGACTGAGAGAGCTTTTTCAAGAACTGCCCTTTCAAGGACAGCTCTTGTCAGAACTGTGGCTTGTCCGAAGTCATCCAGCAGCTGCGAGGAGTGGGGAACTAAACCCGGTTCTCCCAGATTAGAGTCTGCACACTTAATCACTACATCAAACTGGCTCTCAATATTAACCAATAAATACACACAAATAAATATGAGAATAACCAATAAAAACACACAGGCTAAAGCCAAGGATCTCGCTGAAAATTCCGCAGCAGGCAACCACAACCATACAGACAAAATCATTACAAAAGCAATGATCTTGCAGGGTTTCATGTTCTACTCTGACAATTGATATTTCAAAATCAGTGCAATTTTCTTTTAGAATTTCATGACTAGAGTACTTACCGCCCATCATCTGTAGCCTCCATGATTAATAAGCAAAAGTCTTTTCTGTGCCATTTACTGCTGGAGTCTGTAAAATAAATTTTCCTTCCATCTCGAGTCACTGTAAAATCATTCACAAAAGACAAGTTCTTCCCCTCAATGGGAACCTTGGAAGACACAAGTCGTTGCACTTCCCCTGTTCACAGAAAGAGAAACACTTTTTAACCACATATTTTCCTCTTCTAAGATGAATTCTGATATTGCATTAAGATACTACTTTTTCAATTATAAACTGAGGTCTCCATTCATACACATTGAAAAAACATCTTTATTTTGACTCCATGACACACAAGTTTATTTATTACGTTAAGTTTCCATGGCCAAGTGGGAATTCAAACCTGGGTCTCCTAGATCCTAGTCCAGCACTAACCACTATATATATATTCATGTTCCATTCTTATATAGGCCCCTCCCACTGGCCCAGCTACAAGCATCAGTTATGTTCAATAAACCTTTTGCAAAAAGAGGCCCCAAGATCTAAAATTAAGTCTTTCTCCAAGAATATCTAAGTAGTTTTTTCACCTAAGAGGTCTGTTAGGTAGGGAATGATGAGGGAAAGA